TGCCCTGAGCACCTGTTCTTTTAGTACGTAACTTTGGCTGATCACCCGTAAAACAAAGGCATTCCAACAGGAAAGAGTACATCCCTGCCAGGAGAGTGCACATCCCATGAACTTTACAGGAGAGTGTACATCCCTCGTTATTTGTGAAATATTGCAATGCAGGCCATAACTTTATCGGTGTCATCCCTGTCTCGTTGAGTTTTGTAGTTGCTCTGTATGCCAAACGGCTTCCATGCAAATAGACATATTCAAAAAGTTTGGTCAGTCTTTGGCAATCTCTTGCCAAGTAAGTCTTGAAAGTTTGTAACCTCGCAAAGCCATCTCAGTTAGTTTGCAATAAATTACACTGTGCAATGTTTATTATGTGCAATATAGCTTATATTATGCAGACAACAATATTTTATTTGATTATAAACAAACTCCACATCCACTGTATGTTTGTGTTTGTCACCGATGTCACCCCAAATAAAACTGCGCAAAGTTTGCAACATTACTTTCTGTCAGGTGACATGTATATTCAGCTTTTGAAATCATCTTTTCCAATTCCAAATCCGTCAGCTGGTCCACAAATGCACATGTACCCCTTTCCATGAGGGCTGGGGGGAGGGGGTCAAGGTGCAAATTTTATTTACAACAGTGGTGTTGCAATCAGAAACTGTGGGGGGCACAGTTTCACAAAAAATACAATTTTTTACATAATGGTGGTTTTAGCAATGCACACTGAAAACCTGCTGTTCTTCAGTGATGCATACTGATTCATACTGTTCCTTAGTGATGAATACTGATGACTGCTTTTCATGAGTGATCTGCACCGATACCTGCTGATTCTTCAGAGATGCACACTGATACCAGTTTTTCTTTAGTGCTGGACACTAATACTTGCTGTTCCTTTAGAAATGCACTCTCATACCTGCTGTTCCTTCAGACATGTACACCGCAATTTGGTGTTCTTTCGTGAGGCACACTGAAAGTTTTTGTCCATCTAGTTATGTACTATCATATCTGCTGTTCCTTTAGAGATGCATGCACATAACTGCTGTTCATCATTGAAGACCAATACTTGCTGTTCATTATGGGATGTACACTGATGCATGCTGTTCTATTACAGATGTGTTTTCATACTTGCTGTTTTTCAGTGATGCAGACTGATACTTACTGTTTTCTTGGCAAGAAACAGCTGTTCCTCTCAAGATATACACTCACACCTGCCATTTCTTTAGAGATGTACCCAGCTACTTCCTTTTGAGATGTACATTTGCTGATCGTTAAAGATGCACAGTGATACTTGCTGTTCCTTCAGATATGTACAGTACTGGGGAAAAAGTATTTGCCCCCTTTCTGATTTCTTTTTTTTTAAAAATATTTGTCACACTTAAATGTTTCAGATCATCAAACAAATTTTAATATTAGACAAAGATAACCTGAGTAAATACAAAATGCAGTTTTGAAACGATGATTTCATTTATTAAGGGAAAAAAAAACTATCCAGACCTACCTGGCCCTATGTGAAAAAGTAATTGCCCCCCCTTGTTAAATCGTGAATTAACTGTGATTAACCACATTTTTTGAGTTCAATTTCATTAGCCACACCCAGGCCCGATTACTGCCAGACCTGTAGAATCAAGACATAACTTAAATAGAACTTGTCTGACTAAGTGAAGTAGGCTACAAGATCTCAAAAAGCAACACATCATGCCGCGATCTAAAGAAATTCAAGAACAGATAAGAAACAAAGTCATTGACATCTATCAGTCTGGAAAAGGTTACACAGCCATTTGGGACTGTGTTTTGGCTTTGGGACCCCAGCAAACCATGGTCAGAGCCATTATCCACAAATGGAGTAAACTTGGAACAATGACGAACCTTCCTAGGAGTAGCCGGCCTACCAAAATTACTCCAAGACCGCACTGACAACTCTTCCAGGAGGTCACAAAAGAACCCAGAACAACATCTAAAGAACTGCAGGCCTCACTTGCCTCAGTTAAATCAGTGATCATGATTCAACAATAAGAAAGAGACTGGGCAAAAATGGCATCAATGGGAGAGTTCCAAGGCGAAAACCACTGCTGACCAAAAAGAACACAAAGGCTCGTCTCACTTTTGCCAAAAAACATCTTGATGATCCCCAAGACTTTTGGGAAAATATTCTGTGGACTGCCGAGACAAAAGTTGAACTTTGCGGAAGGTATGCATCCCGTTACATCTGGCGTAAGACTAACACAGCATTTCATAAAAAGAACATCATATCGACAGTGAAACATGGTGGTGGTAGTGTGACGGTCCGGGCCTGCTTTGCTGCTTCAGGGCATGGACGACTTGCCATAATTGATGGAACCATGAATTCTGCTCTCTATCAGAAAATCCTGAAGGAGAGTGTCTGACCATCAGTTCGTGACCTCAAGCTCAAGCACACTTGGGTCATGCAGCAGGACAATGATCCAAAACACACCAGCAAGTCCACCTCTGAATGGCTTAAAAAAAACAAAATGAAGGTTTTGGAGTGTCCTAGTCAAAGTCCAGACTTAAATCCGCTTGAGATGCAGTGGCATGACCTTAAATAGGCTGTTCATGCTTGAAAACCCCTCAATGTGGCTGAATTAAAACAATTCTGCAAAGAAAAGTGGATCCAAGTTCCTCCACAGCGATGTTAAAGACTCATTGCCAAGTTATCTTAAACGCTTGATTGCAGTTGTTGTCGCTGAGGGCGGCACAACCAATAATTTGGTTTAGGGGGCAATTACTTTTTCACATAGGGCCAGGTAGGTTTGGATAGCTTTTTCCCTCAATAAATGAAATCATCATTTAGAAACTGCATTTAGTCTTTACTCGGGTTATCTTTTTATATTATTAAAATTTGTTTGATGATCTGAAACATTTAAGTGTGATAAATATGCAAAAAAAAAAAAATCAGGTAGGGGGCAAATACTTTTTCACAGCACTGTATGTTAAAACCTGATTTCTGCTGTTCCTTCAGAGATACACAATGATATACTTGCTGGCTTGTTTGAGCAGGGGTGTCCAATCTTATTTACAAAGATCCGTTGTGGGTGCAGATTTTTGTTCTTGCCAACTGCGACATACAATACCTGATTCAACTTATAAACTAATTGGAGGGATCAATAAAGACCTTGATAAGAAGAATCAGTTGTATTAGTTGTGGGCTGAAATAAAACCAGCAACCACACTAGCTCTTTATGTATGAGATTTGACACCCCTCCTTTAGAAATATACAATCAATCCTGCTGTTCTTTAGAGACAAACACTATTACAATATTAGACAGGAACACTAATCCCAGCTCTTCCTTTTTATGAGGAAGAATGATACCTTTTGTTCATTTTGTAATTGCTCCATGGCAAGCTGGAACTCTTGCTCTTTCTGCCAGGCCTCAGCAATGGTGGTTTGGTTCTGTTCCTCGTATGCCATAGCCACCACAGCCAAGATCAGGTTGACCAAGTAGAACGACCCCAGGAAGATCACCAGGACAAAGAAGATCATGTAGCTCTTCCCTGATGTCCGCAAAGTCTGACAATTGAGAGGCATGCAAATTATCATGTCTTGGCACAAAAATATTTTGGAGTATGCTAAATAATGGCATTCCAGTGGACAGTTCCTAAGGCATGGCAATATCAGTCAATTACACTGCCATAATTCTATTGGCAAGTTCCAATGCTATCTCTCTATTGTTCTGTTCCTTTTGCAGATTGTTAATAGGCAATATTGCTCTCATCATTTAACCTTACTCAGTCCTTTATGTAGTCACTTTCAAACAACATTCTCAAAATTTGGTATTCAATGAACAAAACTATGCTATATGCTCTGCTCCTGATCCTGAATGTTTTGTTGGCTTCTGTTTTTGAAATGAGTAGTGTTTATAATGATTTAAGAAATCAAGAAATAATACACACTATACACGAACAAAGTATGTGTTAAATAGTGTTATTCGACAAAGAGCAACCTCAGATGCTAATGATGAAACTGTACCTGACGATAGAGATTTTCCCAGCAGTCTTGAGTCATCAGGCGGAACAAAGCCAGGAAAGCCCATCCGAAGTTGTCAAAACTAGTGTAATCGTAATTTGGGTTCCTTCCTGTTTTATAACAATTATATCCCTCGGGGCAATTCCTGCAAAACAAGCCACGGGGTAATAATATATTCAACAAAACCTGCCGCAGATTCTATCTGGTCCCAGTGAGCTTTGTCCTTACCTGTACATTGAAATGCAAGTATGATTTGTTTATGTTTTGGTTCCATTCTCTCTGCATAATTGGGTGTGCGTGTGTGTGTGTGTGTGTGTGTGTGTGTGTGTGTGTGTGGGTTGAGAGCTCTTCGATTCCCAACAGCCCTCCAGAAAGCAATAAAATATATTGCAATGAAGGGATTATGGAAAGCAGATGGACATCAAAGCTCATCCGGATATCTAGATTTTTGTCTCTGGGTGCATCCTAATTCTCTTAAATAGCATTTCTTCCTTCCATCTTAGTCCCTCCCACTAGAATATATGAAGAGATGCAAGGAAACCATAGGAGGAAAGAGGAAACAAGGAACACTTCTACGTAAATTCCAATCCTCAACGTAAATGATAGATAGACATACAGATCGACAGATGAAACTGTAGACATAATTACAGGTAAAAGCATCCGATCCAACACGAAAGTATCTGGGAGAGACAGCGCGACTCTAGCTATGAAATTAATCACACACACGGAACACATACAAGCGTACACAGTAAAATATTGTTCAATTGAAAATAGGAAATGCAAGTTAGTTAATGTACTGGGATTGTCACCAAGAACTGACTGCAAAACAAAGAAATGTTTGAGGAAATGAGAATAAATGAGCATGTGCCAAATGATTTTTTATAATAAATATATACATTTTTAGTTTCTAGTCAGTCTTGCATTCATTTTCATTTCCTTTGTTGTGCTGTATAAAAATAATGTTTGGAGCGCTTCAGACATTCGAGGTAGTCCAGCATGGATCAATCCATTACCAGCAATTATCTTGGTGGTGCAGGGGTTAGCACTGCTGCCTCACAGCAAGTAGGTCATAGGTTTGAATCCAACCTGGAGCCTTTTAGTGTGGAGTTTGCGTGGGTTTCCTCCAGGTGCTCAAGGACCCTCCCACAGTCAAAAAAACATGCGCAGCAGGCTAATTGCCCGTAGGAATGAGTGTGAGCCTGAATGGTGTGTGCGTCTTGCGATGGATTGGCGAGCTGTTCAGGCTGGGTCCCTGCTTTTCGCCTGTAGTCAGCTGAGATAGGCTCCAGCTCCCCCCGCCACCCGAGTGATATATTATACAGTATAGATAGTATAAACAATATAATTATAGAGAAATGGAATATACCAGAATGTGTCACATACTTTACTAATGTTTCAATGGAAACAACAAAACTCATAACAATCATTCAATACAAAATAAATTTCAACAAAATCAAGGTTTCATAATAATTGCCACCCTTCATTTAGTACTTAGTGCAACTACCTCTGGCAAGGATAACAGCATGGCATCTTTTCCTGTAATTTTTGACAAGGTTAAGGAACACATTTGGGGGGAATTTTGGACTATTCCTCCCAGCAGATCCTTTCAAGATCCTTCACATTCTTGGGTTTGCGTTTATCAACTGCCTTCTTCAACTCAGCCAATGGTTTTCAGTTGGATTGGGGCTTGGTGAATGATATTACAGATTGTTGATTTTGTTGTCATGGAGCCATTTCTGTGTGGATCCTGAGGTATGCTTTGGGTCATTGTCTTGTAGGGTAGTCCACGTATGGCTAAGTCCCTGCCTTCTGGCGGAGGCAGCGAGATTGTTAGCCATCATGCCATTAATCTTAACCAGTGCCCCTGGACTTCTTAAATTTAAATAGCCCAAAAGCATGAGTGACCCACCATCATATTTCATCGTTGAGTACGAGGTGCTTCTCCTTGTATGCATCTCTGTTTTGACGCCAAACATGCCGGTGCTGTATCTGAGCGAAACGTGCAATTTTGGTCTCATCTGACCAAAACACCTTGTTCCAGTCATAATTTAAATGACCTTTGACAAATTCCAAGCACTTGCTTCTGTGTCTTTTGGTCAGAAAAGGCTTTCTTCTGGCAACCCTTCAAAAGAGCCTGTGGTTGTGGAGGTGATGCCTGATGGTGCTTTTTGAAACCTGGTGACCCCAAGATAAGATGCCACCAAGACCAGCAGTTCCTGCACAGTGATCCTTGGTGATGTTGTTGCTTCTCTCACCATCCTCCTCAATATTCTGGGGGGCAAAATGCAGCTGCATCCTCTACCCTTGAGGTTTTCAATAGTTCCATGTCTTTGGAATTTTTTAATAATTGCCCTGACAGTGCTAGTGGCATAATTAATTGTTTGTGAATCTTCTTGGAGCCATTATCAAATTTATGAAGGTCTATGACCATTTGCCTCTTTTGAACTGACAGTTTTTTTGTTTTCTTCATGGTGTTGGATGACAAAGGGATACTGCATGTGTGTTACCTCATTTTTATGCCCTCGTGAAACAGGAAGTGATGTAATGGCTCAATATAGTTCCCTTACACTTAGACAAATGTTAAATAAGTGGAATTTAATACCTGGTTTAATTTTGATAGACATTATTTACAATAATCTTCAAGGGTGCCATTAACTGTGAAACCTTGATTTGGAGTAAAATTGATTTTTAATTAAATTAAATCAATTTTGGTCCACTAAAACATTAATATCATACAGTATTTCTCATATGTTGTAATTTTTATTTTGAGTTTCTCAGTAAATATATTTTTTTTAAAAAAGTATTTTTTGTGCATTGCCAGTCAGGGGTGCCAGTAATTTTGGAGCCCACTGTATGTGCCCTCTCCAAACCAAATATGGTATTTCCTCTGCATTTTGAATACTGTTATTGCTCTGCTTCACTCACAAATGCGGATCACATGAAACAATGTGTTGTGGAGCGAAGGTGGTTCACAGCCCACGGTGTTTCAACACATAGTTTGGACTCATCAGGGACGATTCCGCTGCGGTGTTCAGACAAAGATGCAAAGACCTTAATGCACAAGGCAGAGCCCATTTCCATGTTGGAAAGCTGCTAGGCCACTCAAACATTGCTTGTTATCCTATCCTCGGCAATGCTGCTGAGACTTGCCCAGGCATGGAAATTAGCTGTTCTGTATCAATACCAGTACTGTATTGACCTGCCTGTAGAAATTAGGCTGTCTGAGTAAATGTCATCTTTTAAATCTCTTTTGAAAACATGCTTTTATCGGAAACCATATCCTGATTTTATTTGACCTACTTACTTGATCTGTTGGTCTTAATTTCTTGTAAATTATCTGTATTCATTTTATCCGTATGAATCCTATCATTTACTCTTGCATCCTATGTCTGTTTTATTGTATCTTGGTATTTGCTTTTCCTATTCTTTATTTTTGTGAAGCATTTTGTACTTTGCTTTGATAAGTGCTCTATAAATAAAGTTTACCATTATTATTACCAGTACTGAGATACTTACTGTATTTAGAGGGCGGCTTGCTTGCAGTCCACAGTGTGCCATACTGCGAACATGTTACAGTTTAATCTCTTAAACTTGTGGATGAAAACAATGGGCCCTATTTTAAAGCTGAGGTGCATGGCACAAGTGCATTTAGGGCGTGTCCAAATCCATTTTCGCCAGTTTAACGGCAGGTAATCTGAGCACAAAGGTTAATGGTTCAAAGGGGTTTTACTTAATCTCTCAATTATTCATAGGCGTGTTTTTGGGCAAAACATGAAATAAACCAGAATTTCATCTCCTATTCCTTTTATATTCCATGTGCACTTGCACTATAGCAAATTAATATTATAATGGTGGATTTCCCTAGTAGCAGGAAAAAAAGAACGCTTCACTGCTGAGGGAAACGGGTCTGCTCATGTGCAAAGAGAAAGTGCGTGAGCAAACCATGGCTTAAAGTATGGAAACCTGTTCACCGTAACCTCCAAAACTGTATATTCAGATGTAAAAATCATAATACATAGTGAATCCTGGGCTCACATTTGAATGCATGCGTTCTAATTCAAGATCACGGGTAAAAAATAATTTCATGCAAGCAGGACTCGGCCAAGAGTAATTATAATAAATGAGAAAAAACAGCCAGGGAGAAAGGAAAAAAATATTTTGATTATTCTACCGTAATCCCATGAATAATATCCAGCACAAGTGAAATTTATTTATTTATTTAACCCTTATTTAACCACGGAAGTCCCGTTAAGATTGAAATCTCTTTTTGAAGGGAGCCCTGGGGGTTGAGGTGGGGAGGGAGAGGGCACTTTGCACAGCCAATTAGATCAGGAGATGATTAGGTGGCATGTCGAAAGAGCCAGGTTGGGACTTTTGCCATGACACCGGGGAACCCCCTACTCTTATCGATGAGTGTCATAGGATCTTTAGTGACCACAGTGAGTCAGGACCTCAGTTTAACGTCACATCTGAAAGACAGCGTCTCCTTTAGTACAGTGTCCCCATCAGTGCACTGGGGATTATTCCACCAGAGGGAAGATCGCAAGCTACTGGCCCACCAGCACCTCTTCCAGCAGCAACTTGGTTTTCCCAGGTGGTCTCCCATCCAAGTACTAACCAAGCCCACACCTGCTTAGCTTCAGCCACACAGCTGGGGCAGATTGAGCAGTGGTATGGCAAATTAACTTGCTTATACCCGGCTTGATTGACACTCAGTAAGAACATGAACAAAATGGATGACATAAGAACAAATATCAATACTGTTGAATATAAGATTACTGTGATCCAATCCTACAATGGCCAAGTCAGATGTATGGAAGAAATTCAGATTAATTATAGACTGTGACAACAATGTCGCCTTGCTGCATGTTAAAAGTGTCACCTTTTAAGGCTGTTTAATTTGTCAGCCAAACTGTAAATTACAATAAACAGATTTCAGAGTTGTGCATCATTGTGTATTTGATAATAGAAGCGGGACAGGTGGGTTGCAAGTTTTGACTTAATGGATAGAGTCGGGCTCAGAATTGATTTTGAGATAATTGCGGGTAACAGGTCAATCCACGCAGAACTCAGACCTGACTCATCCAAACATCTGAAGCGCATTAAAGCACGTCGTACATTCTTTCTATTACAGTACATGTTTTTGTGTGTTTTCAATTGAATGAAAATTCTCAGTTTTAGACTGAACAAAAGTTTACACTGGAGGATCCCCTAAAAGCCTGCAGGAATGACAGAGTTTGCTAGTATAAAAGAGTCATGGCTTATCCTGGATAATTTGCTAATACCTACATGTGTAAACTTGCACATTAAATTGCAAATTACCTGTATTTTGATGGAATAGGCTCCCCATACGATTTAAATACATCAGAGCATTCTATGATGCGGCACTAACTGCACGGGTTTGCAATCAATCGCACCCACCATTATGGCATATTTTTTGTAAATATCTTGATTTACATATGCGCGTTTGTGCACTTGCCTACAAAGGCACATAAAACCCCTTTGTGCAGAATACAAATAATGCCATTTTTTCTAGTTTTGCATGAGCCTATTTAGACTTTATAACTCAGTATTTGTGTCACAGAGACTGTAGAAAATTATTCCATGAAGCAAGACCTTTGGAAATTCAATAACAGAATTATTTAAATTTTGGAATTTACAGACGCCGGTGTCTATATCTGTGCAAAGGGGTGAATAACTTGCCGTTAAAGTAGCAGTCAAAAATGAGCAATTGAATTTAGACTAGATTTTCATTCGTCAATTGAACATCACTTTCTACCGCCTCTAAATAGCAACATGTCAACAATACACCTGACCACACCTCATTAAGACCAACACACCCTTGGGACCTCAGTTTGGCACAAGTGCATTCGCTATTTAAGCAACGTGGGTGCTGGACAGGAAAATGGTGACTTAGACTAGCAAAGACACTTGAGTGACACTTAGCGCGGCTCTGTGTCGGGTGTAAAATAGTGCCCAATTAGTTTCTTCTCAATTTTCAGGTCCTGATTGTGTCACAAAAGACACTAAACACAGCATAATAGACATTTGATTGCATGATTCTGACTCAGCACTAACATAATCATGGTGTGC